AATCTGGAGCCATCTCCCAGGAACTTAGGCCTGGGCTGGAAATCATTCTAAGGCCTCCCAGTGGCAATTCCCAGAGCTGGGTCCTGGTCAACAGCAACCTCAGTGACTGCTACACTAAAGCAACTTACCTTCCCTTCCCAAAGCCCAGCTCCTCACAGCAGTCTCTGAACCCTGGACGCAGCACTTGGCGGCAACTCTCCTATGGTCTGGGTCCTGGCACCAGTTCCTTAGGCCTGGTCAAAACACCCGGTGAAAATCCCCAAGGCCTGGGCCTGGCTGGCAGTAACACTACAGCGACTTTCCCGGAGGCTCACCTCCTGGCTGTAATCCCGGACACCTGGGCCCAGCCCTCGGTGACAATTCCCGTAAGTACTGGCTCCAATCGCCAAGGCTTGGGCCTAGTTAGCAGTAACTCCAATGAGTGTTACACCACAGCAAATTACCTTCCCAGCTGCTTCTGCAGTCGTGGGTTGATTTGTGCCATGTTTGATCCTCACAGAATCACTAAATGTTCATGATGTCACCCTGTTATTGAAGGAGCAGCTCCACTTCCATCTGTCTGAGGTATGTGGATGACTTTGCTCTGCTGCTCAAACCTAGAGCCTCCAGAAAGCCTGACCCCATAGCACAGCATGCACCCTCTTTCGGGCCATGATTAAAACTGTACAATGCAAATTGCAGGAAGTCATGACCAAACTTCATTGCTTTCTGGTTAACCTGTATCTTGATTAGTGTATCCAGTTCTAGTTTCTGAGATAAAAGGGGCATTCAAATGATGAAAGTAATGTAAAGGGCTATAGGGTTGATCCGCAATTTTAGAGGTTCAAAATACGAGGGAAGCATGAAGAATATTCACCTTTTTAACTTTGAAAATTGATTTCTGAGAGAGATGTTTCTTAGAGATAATAACATTTGTAAATGCAAGTCGAATTTGGCTAGGAGACCAGAACAACAGAGTAAAAGGTTCTGATTGCTAAAAGATAATTTGGTAAATTATATCAGGAAATTTTTCATGATGCAGAGATTGATCATGCACAAAAGGATATAGCGGAGGTGAGAACCCAGCAATCATTTAAAAAAATACTTTGGATGTTGTAGTGTTAGGATAACCTTCAGTGATATTCTGGATGGATAAATTAAGATTGGCCAAGTTGCTGTTCTCACCTGTAGCTGCCTCCAAATCATGATTTTTTAAAAATAAAGAATGTAATGGAGAAATTTAAGTTCCTTCATAGGATAGAGAAAATAAACCTCCAAAATACTTCATCTTTACCAGGGTTACAGGATAGGAATATTCTGTGTAGGATAATGGAATAATGAAAGACAGAAATATATATTTAGAAAAAAAAGTTGAAGGACATTTGGGAGAGTTTCTTTTGGAAAAAGTTTATAACACCAGAATATGGAACTCATCTAATACACAGCTAACCACTGCGTTAGTTGAATATGGTAGAAGTGTATTCCGGAGGAAAGATAAATAACTTACTTTCTAGCAATTGTACTTTGTGAGGTGTACTGACTGTTGACATTGAGATGAAATTAATGGCTTTTTGGAAAATTGCAAAGAGGTAACAATCTGGTGAATTGCATTCTAAGAACAAAGTAGCATGAAAAAAATCTCATGAAATATCAATGGAATAATAAAAGATCATTAACTTGAATAGAAGACAAAGGGGAGAAAGTGCAGAATATGGCTAAGGCACCGGATTGTTTCAGTCAGTGTTCAGACCAGGGAGCTGTAGAACACTAACAATCTGTTCCTGAAGTTTGTATTGAATTGTATTGTTTGTATTGGAATAATATAGAAGGTTAATGTCAAAATGCTCAAAATGATAAAGGGGGTGAAATTGAATTGACCAGGCTAATTGGTCAGAATTATAGCTATAGCTGGACAGATGTTTGTTTGCCATTGTATCTGCAATGTAAATGTTATCATCCAATGAGCAGCAGATTCCTTCCTGAATTGGAGGAAGGACATGCAAATTAATGCCTCACATGGATTATTTTGAGCCTTGGCAGTGGCATGGGAAAGAAATAAATGAGACATGGAGTAGAATTGTTTTGACCCTGAATACTGTGGTCATTGTTGAGTCAGATAGGACGATAGGAAGAGATCATTAGAAATTAGATTCTTGACATCGAGAGAAAGAAGTTTGACTCTGCAATCAAGTTTTGAATATTAAGACAAGAATCTCATTAGTGCGTGGAAAAAGGCCTTTTTCTTGCATAAGCATGCCATTAATACCTAATCTCACCTCAGGGATATGCAGCTTCCCATTCTCTCACCCGTCATCTTATATACCTCAATTATATCTCCTCTCATTCTTCTAGACTGTAGAGAATATAGGCCTAAATTACTCAACCTCTCTTCATTAACCATCAAACACTTCACTAAACAACCAAGCAGCTTGTCTTAATGGTCAGCAGCACTTAGTCAAGTAGCATACATTTCACCATACTGCAATGTGCTATGTCAATCTCACACCTGCACTGTGTGTCACATTAGCTGTAAGCGATGAACAAAGCTCAGTGATCCCTCAACCATCAGATCAGATTTTAGTTCTGCAGTCCTGCCACATCCAATAATGAATGATGGTGGACAATAAACACTTTATTGAAGGAGCGGGTTCCACAAATATCCTCATCCGCAGATATCCCAGCATATCTGTGCAAAAGATAAGGCTGAAGCATTCACTGTAATCTTTAGCCCAAACCGCGAGTGGATGATCCATCTTGGCCTCCTCCAACTTACAGCCAACTTGATTCACTCCATGTGATATTTGAGGCGCTGGATACTGCAAAGGTATGGACCTTGACAATAGTACTGAAGACATATGTTCCAAAACTTCTGTGCCCCTCGCCAAGCTGTTCTAGTACAGTTACAACACTGGCATCCACCTGACAGTGTGGAAAATTGCCCAAGTATGTCCTGTACAAAAACAGAACAAATCCAACCAGTCAATTACCATCCCATCAATCTACTCTCAATCATCAGTAAAGTGATGGAAGGTGTAATCAACAGTGCTATCAAGCAGCATTTTCTTGGCAATAATCTGTTCAGTGGCGCCCAGTTTGGGTTCCACTAGGACTACTCAGCTCCTGACCTCATTACAGCCTTGTTCCAAACATGATCAAAAGAGCTGAATTCCAGAGGTGAGGCAAGAGTGACTGTCTTTGGCATCAAGCCTGCATTTCACTGAATGTGGCATCAAGAAGCCCGAGCAAAACCAAAATCAATGTGAATTGGGGGAAAATATTGCTGTTTGGAGTCATACCTGGAATGTAGGAAGATGGTTGTGGTTGTTGGAGATCCGTCATCTCAGCTTCAGGACATCTCTGCAGGAGTTCCTCAGGATAGTGTCCTAGGCCCAACCATCTTCAGCTGCTTCATCCATCATAAGGTCAGAAGTGGGGATTTTCAGAGTGGGGATTGTGCAATGTACAGCACCATTTGTGACTGTTCATATACTGAAGCAGTCCTTATCTAAGTGCAGCAAGATCTGGATAACATTCTGCCGCTTTAGCCAGTAACATTACAGCTATGTAACTTGGAATCAAGTAACTCCAGTTCTGAGAGATGACTAGGAAAGCATTTAACAAAAAGCAAGAGTGGGTTAAACATTTTCTTTGTACCATCTATCATAGAACTGCGGGATTAACCAAGTTCTTGCAGTAGTATACAAACTTATCTAAGGAACTAAGTAACAACTAGTGCCTAATTCAAGCTATTGCTGAATTTCCTCATATCAGCAAGGCCAACAATATGAACTTAGCTTTGGGTTTGAGATGTTTGTGTTGGGCAGAAGGAAAAGCATACCTGCAGGAAAATGCCTTTATTCTTTCAGTGACAATAGGTTTGAGCTTTGCTGTGAAATCTCTGGGATTGAATTATCTGCTCACACTTGCTACCTAAGGAAAGGCTAGTTATTTGACATCTTCATGAAGCATAGGTCTCTGTAGAACTGCACCAAGCAAAATCCAGAGCCTTCGAGAGTGCGAGCAAAATTTATAGGACACAGGACAGAACAACTATTCATATAAGATGTAAGACAATTTTGGTATTAGTCAAGTTATAAGCAAGGTCCTTTAAATGTGAATCATAAACATTTATATATATAAATTGCCTCCAAAATATCTGAAAGATATGAAGTTTCTTCGTTTCCAGTTCATGGTGAAGTATGAGAAGTTGACAATGGGTTACAAATGCGAATGAGAAGTTGGGTATTGTTTCAGTTTACTTCTGAATAACTTTTTGTTTGCTATAAGGCAGTAACTGCTTTATCAATAAGTCATTTTCTATTCCAGATAATGCCTGTGATCCAGGAGTCTGTGCCAAACAAATGTGGATTGATGCGACTAAGATTAAAAATGAGCTGTGTCTGACCTTCACTGATAATGGGAATGGAATGACTCCAATTAAACTACACAAAATGCTAAGGTAGTGTGCTCAACGATGAATAAAATGAGTCTCATTTTTAAAAAAAGTATGTTGTCAAAGGAAAAAATGGAGAAAGTAGACAAATTGCATTTCAGAATTTATTCAGTAGGTTCAATACAGTTTAGAACAGTATAGCAGAAAGTACGACAGGTAAGTTATAATTTAGAGCAGAACCATAATGTAACAAAATGGTTTATGAACTTCCTTTGATGCTGATTTAATTATTCAAATATCATCATCTGAAAACTGCCAAGCAGTAAGAATAGGATAAATAAGGTAATAGGATAGGTAAGTTTAGAATCGGACAGAGTCAGCATGGACTTACAAAAGGGAAACCATGCTTAACAATCTACTGGAATTTTTCGAGGATGTAATTTATTCAAGTTGATAAAGAAAGCCAATGGATATGGTTACTTGGACTTTTAGATGGCTTTCAGAAAGAGAGATTAGTAAATAAAATTAAAATGCATAGGAATTATATGGATAACGATCTATTTGGGTGACAGGAAACAGAGTTGTAATAAACTAGTCCTTTTCTGATTGACAGACAGTGATTAGTGGGGTACTGTAGCGAGCAGTGTTTGGATCCCACCTATTCACAATATATATAAATGATTTAGATGAGGGAACTAAACACATTTGAAGTCTGCAGATGACACAAATCTGTGTGGAGGAACATGCAGAGATGATTCACTATGATGTGGACAAGTTGAGTGAGAGGACAAATGCATGACAGATGAAGTATATTGTGGATAAATTTGAGGTTATCCACTTTGGTAGCAAAAACAGCAAGACAGATTATTATCTGAAAGGTGGTAGATTTGGGAAAAAGGAGTTGCAACAGGACCTGGGTGTCCTTATACACCAGACACTGAAAGTAAGCATGCAGCTACTGTAGGTGGTGAAGAAGGCAGACGGTATGTTGGCCATCATAGCAAGAGAGTTTGAGTACAGAAGCGGAGATGTCTTGCTACATTTGTACAGGGCCTTGGTGACACCACACCTGGAGTACTGTATGCAGTTCTGGTCTACTTCATCCATCTGAGGAAGGATGTTCTGGCTATGGAGACGGCGCAGCAAAGTTTTACAGATTGATTCCTGGGATGGTGTAACACAGGAAGAGAGACTGGATTGGTTGGAACTATATTCAGTGGAGTTTAGAAGAACCTACAAAATTCAAAAGGACTAGACAGGAAAAGCACAAGAAGGATATTCCTGTCTATTGGGTAGTCTAGAAAAAGGGGTTATAATGTAAGGATATGGGGTAGGCCCTTTAGGACTGAAATCAGGAGAAATATTTTCATCCAGAGAGTGGTGAGCCTGTCATAAAGCAGTTGAGGCCAAAACATTGAGTATTTTCAGAAGGAGTTAGATGTAGTTCTTGGAGCTGAAGGGATTAAACGTTATGGGGATAAAGCTGAAACAAGGTACTGTCTTGGATGATCAGTCATGATCATATTGAATGATGGTGCAGGCTTGAAGGGCTGAATGGCCTACCACTCCTCCTGTTTTATGTGTTTCTAATAACCAGAAACGTACAAAAAAGGTTGGGAAAAGACCATTCCAATGCATCTGTATGATGTTCTGAGATACTTTTTCTGATTCCCAAAGCTTCACCATCAACATCAAGACATAAGTCAGAGTGTGATCAAATATGTGCATTCTTGTGTCATAGTGTGGGCACAAGCTGTGGTCTTCATCTCATCACCTATGAACCAGACGTCCAAGAAAACACTAATCACTTTTGCAGTTTAAAAATATTGTAAAACGTTTGCAAATCCTGAGAAACAGTAATTCCCAGTGTATTCGTAAGACAAGTTAAACATCATTAAATTAACCTAGTTGTTATAATCTGATATACTATGCCTATTGGAATGATTGTATGTTTCAACTGTCTTTGATTATGTATCATTTATTTTGTGTTGTGTTATTCTTGAGTCCGTTTGTGAGTCAATTTGCACACAAGCCAGGACACAATGTAGGATAATGTAAAATAGTTGTTCATATGTTGGATCTTTAAAATGATACACCTGGTTTGGATCGCAGTCATAAGTACAAGTGTCTGTAAGTCAGGCATTCATAAATTGGGGACACCTTGTATTATGTTATATGACATCAAGTTTTGTATAGTAGGCATAGTGCACTATGTATGGTCTACCTGGTTGTGTTGTGAACACATTGTTTGATTGTGCATTTTATTGTTCATACTTCTGACAAGTTATTTGTGCATGCCAAACAGCAATTCAGATTCTTCATATCGAAATCCATTTACTAATAATATTAGATCCTGTTTCACTGGAAATATATCTAAAAATGTTACTATGAAATGATATGAATATATTAGCAGATTGGGACAGGCTTCTAGGTCTAAAATTATGTTAGCGTTGCTGTGGAATATTTATTTGGTTTGTAGGGTATTTGTAATTTATTTAATTTGAATATACATGTTATATCCAGAAAGTGTGCCTGATAGGTTTTGTGAAAATAGAAGAATGTTTTCTTTTATCATCAGAATAATTTAATAAATAATTATCTTTTCTTCTCATGTACTTCTATCAATAAAGTATTGCACCCACTTCAAGATGGCAGCGTGAAGCAGCTTCACTGAGTTCCCAGCATCCTTCTCTGGTGTTTAAATATTTTGGATATATTTGCAGAAGATGTGCTGCATTTTTGGACGTGTGTTTTTTTAGTTGAAGCATTAAACTGAAATCCTACGCAGAAGTGAGCTCCAAAGGAGCAACAGCAGAACTTTCTCGTAACCTGAACTGGATAAATATTTCATGTATATATTTCTTCAATCTCTCCAAAACTGACCAAGTTAACAGTAAATGGGACAAAGTTTGGCTCAAATCGTATGCATCTTTATTCTGCATTGGCATGAAAAATGTGGGTCAATAGTTATGATGAGAATCATTTATTTCAGTTAGTACAGTGTTTGCGTAATAATACTCAAGGTTTACCCAACTCCATGAACACTACCAACTTACATTTATACAGCACTTCTAACATAATTAAATGTCCAAAGGTGCTACACAGAAGCATTGTATAAAACAAAATGTGATAGAGGCTGTTGCTAGGGAGAGGGATGGTCCAGTAGCTAGGGAAAGAAGTTTGGAGTGGAGACCAAATGTTTCCAGTTTAATATTTAATTTCTACTGATCCAGTACTGGATTTTGAATAAGTAACATGATAATTTAGTAATAATGAAGGAGTCAAGAGAAGTGTAGGTGAGTTAGAACTGGGTGACATCAGCATATGTGTGAAAACTAAAGCTGATGATTTCTCCATGGCATAGTATGTAAATAAGAAATAAGAGGGCCAGCAGTAGTGGTGAGGGAGCATCAAAAAAAAACCATTATACGTGATTCTTGCAATGATTAGACAACTAAGAATGGAACCTGATGAGAGAAATCCCACTTGCTGAAAGCAATAGTGAGGGGTTAGAGGAAGGAGGTGTGATCGGCTATTTCAAAGGCTATAGAAAGGTGGAGAAGAATAAGGAGGAATCGCTTGTCCTTGTTATAATTGTTTAGGATATCTTTTGTGAGTTTGAAATTGTTTCATATATTTGATAGGGTGAAAACTGATAGGGGGCATTAAAATGTGGAGTTTCAGGAAAAAGGGAATAGATTTGGGAGGTGACAATGTATTTGTGGACTTTGGAGAGGAAAGGAAAGTTCAAGATGGCACCAGTAATTTGCAAGGATGTTGGGATCAGGTTTCAGTATTTGACGAAAGAGGTGATGATGGCTGTTAAAGGTAAGGGGACGACACATTGTAGAGAACCGTTTCCATATCAGCTACTATGGAAGCCGAGAGAAGAATTTCATCAACAGTTTTGTGAGAATAAGATCATGGGCAAAGGAGGTGTTTCTTTCAGTCTGAATTGTTCTCTTTCTGCCCCCACTGCCCTATCCCAAGAGTTTTTGTTTCCATGTTAGGTCTGTTTTGTTGTATCTAGGATGCTCTTTGAGATGCTCTGAGTGAAACTCTGTGCATACCAGGAAGCCCCACAAAGACTCAAGCTGAAAAGCCTGGCTTTCTTTGTATGATTTGCATCTCTAGCAAGACGTGATGTCTGGGATGAATGTTTTAAATCTGTGTGTAGTATATGTCACATCCAAGGCGTGCACTCTTACAAGACATGCAAAGTTATCTTGAATAAAAGCCATTCCTTGTTCTGGAACCTGACACTTAAAAACATTTGCACTCATTCTCAGGCACAGGCCATCTCTTTGTAGCTGTTATTTATTTAATTTGCCTTTTGGCTCAGCAGCCTAAAAGATACAGGCCAGGTTGCTAACATTATAACTGTTACAATCCTGTGACTGCCCATAATGGAGGCTAACATTCTAGATAATGTTTATGTGAAAAAATGTTTAATTTACGCAATACAAAGGAAGATTGTGACTGAGAATCATTTCTTGCAGTTACATAACAAGAAAAAAAAAGCAAGTCTTGCTCTTCAATGCCTGTTTCCTGGTGTGGATGCTTTTTCAAAGATGTGGGGACAATTTTAAACAAAATTGTTCAAGTTAAATTTATTGTGAGTGTATTATGATTTTGTAGGAAATTTCACCTTGTCATGAAGAGTTTAATTTAAGGATGAAAAGATCATCTGAGATTTGATGTTTGGTGGTATGATGTCTGTTGATCTCAGTCAGGGCAGAGTGTGTGCTGCAACCAAACCCATTAGTTGAGTTTTCTGTTTCCTACTCCAGGGACAGTTTCCAGTCATGATCCTTTGATTCCTGCTGAAAAGTGCCTTGATACATGCCAGGTGTGAATACATTCTGCTCTTGGCCTGCTGTCAGATACACTATTCATACAGAGAGAATAATCATTGGGCAAGGATGCCCCACATTTATGAAATTTGAAAGTTACTGCATTAAAGAAATGGAGAGGGTGAGCAAAATTGAGAAGAGATTAGCAATACTTAACTGATTTTGAACACATACTTGAATTTTGATTAGCTGCATTTCACATAAGTAAATTAACTTGTTGCTTAATGAAGATATCAACATATAATATTTTTTTTAAAAAATCTATTTATTTCCTCCTTTCCCTACTTCTCCAGTTCGTATATGGAGGTAGGGGGACACGCTGACCATATGCGGGGCTGTGAATTTTTTCACTGATAACAAAAAAGCAAATTGAGGAGATGAATTGAACTTTACCTTTATAATGATAAATGATCCTAAGAACTTAGGAGTTTCTGTTCCCTGTAGTGGGGAAGAAAAACAATAACTAATCAGGTTGCTTGCAGTTCACCCACTCTATCCTGACTGAGATAACATACTACACCAACCAAGTATCATTTATTGTGTGTCAGCTCTCAATCCATCTCTTTCTCTTACAAAAACTGTTTATTCCTGCCTCGCTAGAATTAGAAGAAACTGTGTTAATTTTGCAGCAATTGGTCATTGATGTAAAATGAACTTTCTTTTAGTCTGCATGTCTTTTTCTTGTAATTTTATCACTTCAAACTTTAATTTTATTTCATAGCTTTGGCTTCACGAACAAAACAGGAAATAAAAACCACTTGCCAATTGGTGTTTATGGAAATGGATTTAAATCCGGCTCAATGAGGTTGGGAAAAGATGCTCTTGTCTTCACCAAGAATGGCGGAGCTTTAAGCGTAGGCCTCCTATCGCAGACGTACCTGGAACAGATTAACGCCCAAGCGGTCATCATCCCTATTGTGCCTTTCAACCAGCAGAATAATATCCTTTAATGTTATGGATTTTTCATAGTTAGTACATTTTATCTTAATTTATTGGGCTTACGTCGGTACTGGACTGTCTTTTCCACATTGTTTCCACCATCTTCCCTCTGTTATGTGTTAAATTGCTTGAGCATGCTGCAATGTTATACAACTTTTGTGTAATGGACAACTAATTCTAAATTTTCTAGTGCATGTACGTCTTCTGTGTGATACAGTCTTTAGCTTTTAGTGATCCTTGAAATAATCTGCACGTTATTTGAGCAAACGGGTTAATTTATATGAATGAGCCACAATTTCAAAAAAATGAAAAATCTTGCAGATTGACTTATATGGTTAGTAACTTCATCACTGTACAACTATGTCTCATTGCCCCTGAATAGTTTTTTCCAACCACTGGTTTGTATATGTGAAGCATCAGGTTGATGTAATATTCATATGAAAGGAATTGTCATGGCTCACAGTTTAATTTTTTCTTGTTGGTCAAATGCTGCACACGTAGAATTGTTTGAATTCCTGACCAGTGCTAAAGACAACATGAAAACTCTCAATGACTCTAAGAAGTAAATGAACGTTGTGGGAAGTAAGGGAGGAAATTGCGAGACCCCTTGCAGAAATATTTACTTATCTATAGCTACGGGTGAGGTGCCTGATGACTGGAGGGTTGCTAATGTTGTACCTTTGTTTAAGAAAGATTGTCAGGGGAAATCGGGGAACTATAGACCTGTGAATCTGACTTCAATTGCGGGTAAATTATTGGAGGTAATTATAAAAGATAGGATTTAGGGACACTTAAAGAGGCAAAAATTGATTTAGGGATAGACAGAATGGTTTTGTGTGAGAAAAAGTGTGTCTCACAAACTTGATGGAGTCTTTTGAGGAAGTTAACAAAAAGATTGATGACGAAAGAGCAGTAGACATTGTTTACTTGGACTTCAGTAAAGCACTCGCCAAGGCTCTGCATGGTGGACCAATTAGTAAAGTTAGGTCACATGGGATTCAGGGTGAGCTTGCCAATTGAATACAAATTGGCTTAACGGCAGGAGACAGAGAGTAATGGCGGAGGGTAGCTTTTAGGACTGGAGGCTGGTGACCTGCAGTGTTCCACAGGGATCGGTTCTGGGTCCCCTTTTGGTTGTCATTTATATAAATAATTTGGATGAGAATACAGAAGGCATGATTAGTAAGTTTGTGAACGACACCGAAATTGGTGGCATATTAGCCAGTGAAGTTTTCTAAGATTACAAAGGGATCTTGATCAAATGAGTCAATGGGCTGAAAAATGGCAGATGGAGTTCAATCTGGATAAGTGTGAGGTATTGCATTTTGGTACAACAAACAAGGGTGGGGCTTGTACAATTAATGATAGGGCCTATAGTTCTGTTATAGAACAGAGGGACCTAGGGGTGCAGGTACATAATTCTTTGAAGTTTGTGTCACATTTGGACAGGGTGGTTAAAAATGCATTTGGCACGCTTCATTGCTCAGTCCTTTGAGTATAGGAGTTGGGAAGTCATGTTGAGGTTGCACAGGACTTTGGTGAGGCCTCTTCTGGAATACTGTGTCCAGTTTTGATTGCTCAATTATAGGAAGAATATTATTAAGCTGGAGAGGGTTCAGAAGAATTTACCAGGATGTTGTTGGGTATGGAGGGTTTGAGTTGTAAAGAAAGGCCGGGTAGGCTGGGACTTTTTCACTGGAGCATAGGAGATTGAGAGGTGACCTCATAGAAGTTTATAAAATAATGAGGGGTATACAAAGAGTTAATGGTAGTTGGATTTCAAGACTAGGGGGCACATTTTTAAGGTGAGAGGAGAGACACTTAAAAATACATGAGGCACATATTTTTTACACAACGGGTGGTTTGCGTGTGAAATGAACTTCCTGACAAAAGCATGGATGTGGGTACAATTATAATGTTTAAAGGACATTTGGATAAGTACATGAAAAAGAAAGGATTGGAGGGATATGGGCCAGGAGCAGGGAAGTGGGACTAGTTTAGTTTAGGATTATGTTCGGCATGGACTAGTTGGACTGAAGGGTCTGTTTCCGTGCAGTATGACTCTATGACTATATGAATGTGGCAGAGAAAAAAGAAAAAGTAATTAACAACTAAATAAACTTCCATTGTTCTGTCTTTGGCCTTGTGCACTGTTCCAACAAAGATGAATAGAACCTTCATGAACAGTATAATATTGTACTCTTGGACACCATGAAATCCATTAGTCTAAATATTGACTCAATTAACTTTAGCTTTATTCACATTTTACTGATCAACTTAGATCGATTCTTAGATTGCTGAAGCTTGGCTCCTTTTAAAATGAGACCAGCTGCATTGCTGGTGTTAACGGGGCAGTGTGGCTAATAGCCTTGTTTTGAAATTGGTGCTGCCCTGTTAATCCAAGATGAGGACATTCAGAATTGACCCTGGGGAAGGAAGTCACACATATAGTTGTTTAGTCTAAACAGGTTAGAGTTTAAACCAGGGCAGGTGTTTGGTGATGGGGGACAAGTTGTTGACAAATGTAGGACAGGTTGGAGGAGAACGGGCAATGGAAACAATAAGGTTGCGATCAAAGATAGATTTTCTTGTTGAAAGTGAAATCTGATGCACAACTCTTCACTTTAAGATGATCATTTTTGTTCACTTATGGGAGTTGAGCTTTGCTGACAAGGCCAGCTCTTAGTGTCCAAATTGAATTACCTTTGAAAAGTGGAGGACTGAAACTAGGCCAGAGAGCAGACTAGGTAGGTGTGTGACACAGTCATAGAAAAGAAGAAGGGCAGAAAGGACAATGAGTTGGATCAGGATGTAATTGTTTCTTTAAGGAAATCACATAGATAGGAACTGCAAAAAGCTGAGGATTATGATCATATCCAACTTGTTACTGAAGGTATCAGCGTTTCCATGTGTAACATTCATATTGTTTCTTGAATCCTTTTGGTATTCAAATATTAAGTTGGTGTGTTCTTCAATGTGAGAGTTCATTTAAGGTATCGCTGATGTGATAATTACACATTAAAATTATGTACACATTTCCATGTTTAATATTTAAGTATAAAGTTGCCAATAGCCCTTGTTGTGTAAGATAATCGTTTTAAAGAGGTCAATATTCATGTTACGGTGGCTTGATCCATTTTACTCATGTTACATCCAGGCTGGGGGTGGAAGCGAGGACTTCTACTCTAGATTTGGAGGGAGCAGAGGTATATGTACTAGTTCTGTAAGGTCCTAATAATAATCCCTGACCAAATGTAGTTGTACTTTTTGTTGTCATACAATTAATCCTATGTTATCTAAGAACAGTGCGTCTTCTGTACACACTAGGTCCCCTAAATAATGGGAAGTGAATGCCCCTGGTAGCATTTCTTGCCCAATCCTAATTGTCGTTGAATGGCCTACCATGCCCTTTCAGAGGGCGGTTAAGATTCAAACATATCGCTTGGGTGGTGATGACATTTAAGTATTAACTGTTTTAATTGAATTTAAATTCTATGTTCTGGCATGGAGAGATTTGAACTCATGTGCCCAGAACATTGCTACCCCAATGACATTATCGCTGTGCTACCTTCTCTCCACATTCTTATTCCATAGTGAGATGGTGAATCTTGTGATTCAGTTAGTTATTCTGCCATTTTGTTTAAAAGAGTGCATTTAATCCAAAGCTGTACTTTGCCATTCTCTTATTTACATTAAGAAATATTATGTTTACAAAGAATTGAAAATGTTCATTTCAGCCAAATTGTTCAGGATAGTAAAAGGATCAAATACCAATGAAACCTAGTTGGAGGAAGGAGGCGGATAGTTTTACAGAAGTGGTTACTGAACTATGAAATAACTTTCCATGGAAAATAATTGAAGTGGACAGTATGAATAAGTTCTGATAAACACTACTTAACTGATTAAAGCACAGAACCTCATAGTTACTGAAGACTCAGTGCCAAGTCTGGAGGCCATCTTGAAGTATTCTATCTTCAACTCAGAGAAGGAATTGCTTGCAGAATTTGATGCAATCTTCAGTAAAAAAGGAACTCGAATTATTATTTGGAATATCAGAAGGTAGGTAGACAGTTCATTAATCTAAGCAGTAATCATTTAGTAAACTAAGTAAAGAACTGACTGTTTTGCTGCTTAACCAATTCCCTGCTCATTTGCTGTTTCTGCTTATTCATTATTCTTGGTCCTGCCTCCTATTCAGCCTTTCCAAATTGAACATAGTCTTATAGTACACGGCAGATATATAATTGCAACCAATTCTAAATTTTAGTGTCTATACATCTCCTGTGATGCAACGTTTACTTTCTGCTCCCTGAAATATTCTATGCATTATATAAGACAAATGATTAACGCCTGTGAACATATGCCACAATTTGAAAAAAAAACCTTGATTGGCTGTTGCAAACTGATGTGCATTATCATTGATTTTATCGCTATATAATTCTGCTCCGTTGCTCTTAAACAGATATTTTTCCAGCCACCTGTTTTTAAGTCAATGTGTCAAAGGGATGGGTACCCTAAGTATGATGAACCTTTAGTAAAGTAACAGGAATGTATTCATTCCACTTCTGAAGGACATCTCCTTGTTCCATATGAGTCTCTCTCTTTCACTTTCTCTGTCTTTCTTTACCTTCTCACCCACCTCCACCAACCAGCTGTCAGACCCTTAGTGGAGTCTATTTATGATAACCACTAAATGCATGCCAACCTTGTATTATGGAACACTCGGTAACATCACTGAACTGGATTCTTACATCTGGCAGCATCTGGTGATATGGAGCACACTGGGAAGCAACATAAAGGGCAAAGTTCCCCAAGCTGTGATCGGGAGTGATTTGGAAGTTCCTGCTCCATTCTTGGAGAATTCTAAACATTTAGCAAAGTTTTTATCCAAGCAATGATACTTCTATGATAAAGTAGACTGCCACTGTACAATTTTCAGAATCAGATGAAAATATCAACAGCATTTTGTGAAAAGTGTTCTGTACCCATAAAACTACATTTGTGCAAGGAGGCACCATTGTGGGAGTGGGGGAGCGGTGTTGTGATAGCTGCATACAGGAAAAAATTAGCAGAGTTCCTAAACCTCACAGACATCTAAGAGAAAAAATTCTCCTCATCTCTGTCCTAAAAGGGCCACCCCTAATTTTAAAATAATGTACCTTAGTTCTGGACTGATAGAAGCAGAAAGCTCTTGTTTGATGAAATGTTTCTTTCTTGTATCCATTTAATACTGTGCAAACCAGCAATCAATGAATATTATAACCTTAAAGAAACAAGACAGTACTAAGGGATTGCTACATTTGACTGTTGTAAAACATTAGTTATGTTCAATATTACCTAGGAACCTCTTGTGAAGTTTTTAATAGATCACTCAGAACAGCTCAAAGGTTACTGGACAGTCAGTTTTAGAGTTGGACAGAGACAGGCAGAGAAAAAGGTTTCAACTTTTGGGCTGCCAGCCAGACGGGCACTTAAGGGTAGGAAGAAGAGGCTTCATCGTAAAAAAAAAAGTGCTGTTGCAGCAGCTCCAAGGAGTTATGATGCAGGAAAAGACCTGGAAATTAGGTTACATGTGGGGGTTACTGCACACAATAATTCCTGGGAGCTGCTGGAGCTTGGAAGCAGCTGATTGCCATTAAGGAAACGCAAAGCAACATTTCCTTTGTGCAACTGAGGAACACTGGGCTGAATCTTAAGCCTCATTAACTACTTACCCGACCAAACTGCATCCCTCTTGTTCAATTCTATCCCCACTCACCATGCCAGAACAACTTGTCACTGCTGAGATATCCCAGAATGGACTGAAATTCGTGGCACCGAGGCCGTTATGCACCCAGATAAACACTGTTAGTGTAGGGTTGCCCATCTCGGTTCCTGACATTTGCTCCCAGTCATTAGTGTAGAAGGAAAATTGGTTCCTGTTTTGCAGACAGGTGCCTAGAGGTCCTGGTGGATGAGGTGGCGCAGAGGTGGCAAGTCCTCTTTCCTTAGGAGGCCACGACACAAGATCATGCAAGCCTGGTCCAAGGTTGCCACCCAGGTAAGTGTAGTTTCAACCATCTAGAGGAATGCACAGTGACGTAGGAAATGCACCAAAGATCACAAAAATAATGTGCCATCCAGTTTCATCTCCCTTAATACCTGCCTCTCTTTCATTCCAGGAAGAAACTAGCGCACAATTAGCCAGAAAGAGTCCAAATAGGTGGTGAGCTGCCTGAAGTTCAGCTCGTCACCCCTTATGTGGAGAGATTCCTGACTCTGAATGCTTTAAGCAGCTGACTGACCATGTCCAGTGTTATGGACTGGTATCTAATGCTGCTATTGAATTACTTTGCCAGGACCCCTGAGTGAAGGCTATCTCCCTTGACTTGGCTGAAGGCCGCTGACAATTATGACAAGCTTCCGGGCTCTGTGTCGACACTAAATGGCAAGGCAGTACAACAGTAATCTGGGCCTGATATCTTTGGCCGAGAGGCAAGGTGCAAAAAAGCAAGGGGACTGTGTTGCGAGCATCCAGCTAGTGTGAGTGAGTGCTAAGTGAGCAAGCAAGAAACCAGGAAATACAGCCTGGTCCAATCCATGAGCTGGGTAGATATCCCTGAGTGAAAAGCATCCTTGCTGCTGTTTTACAATAATAGGTGTCGTTGAATCCCAGGTTGGAGCATGAGGTGCAGACATGTATTGAAAGTGGAGTGGAAATGTGCCACAGGGCTTTTAGAGGCTGACACATTTAGATGCCACTGTTTGTGGATGTGGAGTGAATGTGGCCGGTGCTTATGGAGTGCCCGCTGAGAGGTTGGTGCCTGGTGTCCAACATAGAGGTCTTTGGGACACGTGGCAAGCTGAAGATGCCTGTACCTACTCTGACTTACATGTTGAGAATTCTCAGTGTTCAGTTTGTGCACGGCAGGTGGTATAATAGATAGCTATTTATTAATTTATTAATGGATGAGATGTGCAGTTAATAAGGTCATTGACAAGCAAAATTCCCCCTTATTAGGCGTTCACCTCAGTCCTGTGAGAATCTTACCTTGATGCTGGGATGTTTATTAAAAGATGCAGCAAGTTGTGATGAACTTAGAATCATGGCATCATAGGATCGCTACAGGCAGGAAGAGGCCATTCGGTCCATCAAGTCTGCATTAACTATCCAACGAGCATCCCACCCAGACCCACCCCATCCCCATAATCCTACACGCAGGTTTTACATGGCTAACCCACCCCCTGCATGCTACAAGGCAATTTTTGTTCAAGCATTGTCAATCCACCTAATCTGCACATACCTGTACTGTGGGCAGAAACCACGTAGACATGGGGGGAAAGTGCAAACTCCACAGAGACAGTTACCCAAGGCCGGAATTGAACCCGGGTACCTGGTGCTATGAGCAGCCGTACTAACCACTGAGTCACTGTGCCAGCTTCACAGGACTGCTTGGTGATTCTGTCACATTGATCAGCATAGCCCATGTTGTTCAGACCCCTGTAAGATTTAAACATTAGAGCTTGGAGAAGTAGAATATCAGTAGCTTGCGTGATGAAGCTAGCTTTCTGAGAAATGGCTGGAATTTTGATTGTGAGTAGATGCAGGAATCTGTTTTAAAGAATGTAAAGTGCCAGAATGTGGGCAGTCGTTGAGTCAGTCTGTGACAGAGTGGCTTCTGAGGGAGTTCCAAAGCTAAGTCTTTGAAAAAGAAGATTTGTAATCACTCGCAAAGATTTAAACATATTTGGTGACCCACAGTGTCACAAACCTCAAGGGGGTGTGTGGTGGGGGATGCTGAGGAATCTGTGGGATCTGTTATGATCTACTTTGTTATTTGATGTGATCTTTGGGGGTGTTTGACCACATTGTGTCGATTACCTTTATTTGCCTTCATGTTAATTTTTCTAGCTTTGTATAGTAAAGCTTATTGTTTGTTCAAAACCTTGTCACTTTATTTTTTTAGTGAGTACCTGCAATCTCAAAAATCTCAAAAAACAGTTACTGATCCTAGCCAGATTGAAACATGGATTTATTTGCCTGGTCAAGAATCATAACGCAGGAAAAATATTTCTTGTGCAATAATAATTTTTGGATTCTTCAAATCACACATTATCCTCTCTAGCAGTCATCTGCTGGTGTTATTTTATAAACAATTTTGTATCTTTGCTTTAAAAGTGGTATCAAGCTAGCTTCCTTTCTGCACCTTTGCCGCCACTGTTCCATGTGAGTTAAGTATCTTGGTATCAGGGGAAGTTAGTGATTGAATCTCTCCTCAATGAAGCATTTTTCAAGAACATAGAACAGGTGTAGATCATTTAGCTCTTCAAACTCCTCAAGTTTTGCCGTTCAGGGAGATCACGTCTGATCTGTGACCTAACTGCACACACCAGTCCCTATACCCCTGTGTGGCTCTACCTAACAAAAATCTATCATACTCAGTTTTAAAATTAATAATTGTTCAAATATCAGTTGCTGTGTATGGAAAGGAACTTCCTAAGTTCCTAATTTCATTCTGAAAGGTATGTTAATGGATGTTTTATAAACAGAGCTTGTGAGCTTAGAAAAGACAAATGAAATTTCAGCATATCTAATACAACAGTAAAATACTACACCTGTATAAAATCTGAAATAATAACAAAATATTGCAACTAATCTGCTGTTCATGGCTACATGTATTGGGGGGTGGAGTGCAGAGAGAGAGACAAGCAGCAAACAGGCTGGTTCATTGACTATTAGGACACTATGACATTGGTGGTGGCCCACCTAACCTGCCACGATTTTATAAGTGAGAGATAGTAGGAACTGCAGGTGCTGGAGAATCTGAGATAACAAGGCGTAGAGCTGGATGAACACAGCAGGCCAAGCAGCATCAGAGGAGCAGGAAGGCTGACGTTTTGGCCTAGACCTTCCTCCCACCAGGAAGGTCTAGGCCCGAAATGTCAGCCTTCCTGCTGTGTTCATCCAGCTCTACACCTTGTTATCTCATGATTTTATAAGTGTCAGGTTAGGTAGGCCATCTGATATTGATCCAATTAAAGCCCTTAAATGGACAATTAATTTAGGGTTAATCACTTAAGGGTTCAAACCCATTCTTAGCCAGGACACCTGGGTTCAAGTCCCACCTGCTCCAGAGGGGTGTAATAACATCTCTGAGCAAGTTGATTAGAAAATCTAGAATCTCATTGCTGCTTTGATTTAACGGATGGCTGGGGAGGCCTAGGCCAGAACTATAGTTTTAACCCTATTGGCCAATATTCAGTAAAACAGGGAGGTACCTATTTTTCTGACTCCTTGTGCCATTCAGATGCCCCATAGATTTTCCCCCTTAACGGCCATCCTTCTGCCAGCTCACATGCCCACCAACTTCCTTGTTGACACGAGCCAACCTTGCCCTGGCCAGATCATGGACTTGCCTGAGTTTGGGGTATCTATTGTTTGTCTTCCTTCTAGTTTGTCAGCAGTGACCACCAATCCTGGTGTGGTGGAGAGCTGCTGGTCTCCAGTTGGCTGGCAACTCAATAATTTCAGAACTAAAATAGAGTGCTGGAGAAACACAGCAGGTCTGGCAGCATCTGTTCAGAGAAAAACTGACACAGGATCACTGGAGACAAAATGTTAATTCTGTTTTGCTTTCAATAGATGCTGTCAGACCTGCTTTGTTTCTTCAGCACACTGTTTTTGGTTTAGATTTCCAGCATCTGCAGTTTTTGTTTTATTTCAATAAAATTGGAGTTCATCCTGGTGATGAATGGAAGTCCCATCTCATGCTTATTAAAGGATAGTCGAAAATATTAAAAATTGAATGTGCTAGTGTAGCTGAGACAAGTGTGCCTTGAAATGTATGCTGGGTATGAAGGAATGTATCCTTAACATTCTGTGTAGTCCAAGGGTTGAAGTTGCTGACTTTTCATCGGAATATTTATTTGCTGCTCGTGCAAAACCATTCACCCTTCACATGATCTTTCTGTTGTCCTGGGCAGTGTAGGAATAATCATATAACTCATAATATTGTTGCCTGTCTCAATCCTCATAATTCTGATATGTCTTTTAACCAGATATCCAATGATGGTAGCCGTCTTCTAGTCTAGTTAGCTAATTTTACTAAGAAATTTTCAAAGAACCTGTTGTTGTCGATGAATTGCCTTACTGTTGATCTGGGGAGATATTTCGGAAAGATGCATTTAGCAGGATTAGTTCCAATCTTTCCATGCTTCTTGATTAATGGGTTTTGTATCTTTCAGAAACAAGGATGGGAAACCAGAACTGGATTTTGAAACAGACCCATTAGACATCCGGATCCCAGATATCAACAGTGAAGATGGTGCAGGAAAAACGAAGAAATACAGACGACCGGAGAGGCAGGATCAGCACATTCCTGAAAGTGACTACTCACTAAGGGTCAGAATCTATTTGTTTGTGTTTTGTTTGGCAGGATTAAAGAAAGGGCTGAATTGAGTTGTGGATAGTTCATTGAATTAGGGTCTGTACCATTGTGTTTAATATATTTCTGGAGATTTAACACTCACGATGCACTCACATGACATACGATAATGTGACATTTGCTCACTGTTTGCAAACGTTTTTGCATTTATCTGAGCTGAGTACCTTGGTGTATCACCAATCCTGAAATAAAATATGATTGTTTATAGTGACATCAATGAAAAATTATAAACCAAAGAAAGAACACAGCAATTTAAAATTATGCAAAGTTTAAGCAACTATGATTTCCCTTACGTTTCTACAGCATTGAACGCAGTGGGAGACACCAATCATATTCCATTAACTCTACAGGAGCATCATTAATGTAAATAACTTTTAATATAAATGTTGTCAATTTAAAATTAAAGAAAAAAAAAACAAGTTCCATAAATAAAAATAAAATCCAAGCAATCCTAACCTAATTCAGCCTCCTGACTTCCACAGTCCCCCTTGGAAATGCGGCTTCAGAGAGCTGAATCATGTCAAACTCACAACATTAGCTTTATTTCTGTCTCTACAGGTGCTGCAAGACCTGCTGAGTTTCTTCAACACTTTGTGTTTTATTTCAGAGAGGTGAGAATCAGTCCTTGCAGAGAAGTTCCAAAGCTGCCAGACTATTCTTAAAAGCACTTTATAAACAGAGAACATCACAGGGTGACATATAAACTCTTGTTCCAAACTGTTCATAACACTTGATGCTTCAAGACTTGAGAACTTCCAGGTGATTTTTGTTGTTCCTCCCCCCCCACCACCAATGCAATTGTCCTTGCAACTGGCAGTGAAGCTGAGCTTTCATTTAGTGAGGAGGCCAACAGTTCTCAAACACAGACCAACTGCAAGTCAACACAACCTGGGTAACTGTGCGTGTATGAACTGCCCATAAGAAGAATGTCTTTTCCATGTCACTAGCAGCAGTGCTTGACACCAATCACCGGTTTTGGTGGGCTCCTATCCAAAGTAGGGGAGTGTTGCAAACTTGATTTCCCCCATCTAATAACCCCTCGAATATGATGCTATTGTGCAGAATTCTGGTCATTAATTACTGTTGACAGTATAATGTTGGTCAGCTACAACCTCTGCTAAAGGAAAGAATATAACATTTGTTTAGTAGCTAAATTTAATTATATGTCGACATCCATCCATGAACTCCAACTCATGTGCTGGCTACATTTGTGATGTGAACATACAAAGATAGCAGGTAGGAAAGACCAACACATCCAACAAACTTGCCCCATACTCTCAACATTTGAAAATCATACTCGAAATTTCCTTCTTGCTACAGCCATGAAATCTACTGAGTCAAGAATTCAAAAATAAAATCATAGGGACAACAAAGAACAATGAAATCTGCACATTTCTTCTCTGATATTATTAGGTGATTAAAATTGTTCATGGATCATTTGATCATGAAGTTTGATAACTGTTAATCATTACCTTTTATATCTTTTTCTAGTTAAGACCTTTTAACGGCACATGGTGAATTAGTACACTTCACATAAACTGAGAATGCACTCTATTGGCTCAGTAATCTTTGTGCAAAGAACCAGTCAACTTATTCCTATTCTTGCATGGTTTAAATGTGAGAGTCCTGGTCTTCCCCAACATACCAAACTGAAATAATTATCCGACCATTTCATCACTTTAGTTTCCACTCTGTCAGGATTCCTATTAAGTTCCTGTTGCTCTAAAATATCACTAGTTTCTATTACTTCGTGGAACATGAGGCAACAGTATCACTTGCACTTCTCAAAGCAGGAGTTTCACTTTAAACTAAAATCTTGATTATCTGCACTAACGATATCACCATGCTGATTATCTCCCAGAATTGAAGTTCAACTGTATGTACTTGACTGTACCGAAATCTTACTTTGCAGTCTGCAGTTTGATAAAACAGTTCATTCAGAGGTACTTCTTAATTTAGTAGGAACCAATGCTTGTTTCAAGAAGTTGTGAGAATATTTAACAAAGATAAGGACTGCAACAGTGAAACTAGCTACTAATGTTCTTTATGTTGTGATAGGCATATTGTAGCATTTTGTACCTGAAGCCTCGCATCCAGATCATCCTGTGTAAGAAGAAAGTCAAAGCACAGCTTATCACAAAGAGCCTGGCTCACATTGAATATGACGTTTACAAACCTAATTTTAATGTATCCTTTTTGAATGTGCCAGATAGTGTACTCATTTTGCCATTATGATTACAATATGCTGTTACTGTTTTGAAAAACCTGTTGATTTCTGGTGTACTCACTTTGCAATCAAGCCATCATGGTTACAATATGCTGTTGATATTTTCTTAATTTCCAGCTCCTCACAGTTAAGGCAGACAAATAATCCCTTTGCCCGGAGCTAACCTTGACAATATTGATGGTTACTGTTATGAATAGTCAGGTGAGGTGGGAGGCTTTATGGGTTTTATGGAAAACATGCAATCAATTTATTAGGTTTTATCAAGGTTGGATCCAGCAAAGACCTCATGACCCATGAAATTTTGGCATCTCGTGAAAACTGGTATAAATCTCTCACAACACACTTTTCATGATTTTCTGTACAAGAATAATGATGCTACTTTGCAGAATTCTGGTCATTAATTACTGTTGACAGTATAATGTCAGGACTGATGCTGCCAAAACCTGCTGACTTTTTCTAGTCCTTTCTGTTTTTATTTCAGATTTCCAGGATCCAAGTTATTTAGCTTTTATCCAATGGCATGGTAGCTGGGGCAGGTGACATTGACAGCCTGCCTACCATGTGCAAATAAATAATGAAACATCCGTTGTGCTTGGGAAAAGGTTGGATGACCCCAATATTTCCCTATCCATGCCATTGTATGGTTTCAGGGACAGGTAAAACCTCGGTAATGTTGCCAAATAGCCCTTGCTAACCTGAGCCTGGGGCTCCATGCAACTGGTTGCAGTCCAGATAGTGACCATTAGAGAGCATTGGTACTCTTGGGATTGCTCTTTTTACCAGTCAGTCAGATTGGCTGACAGGTCCAGAGGAAGAGACTTCCTCCCACTGAGGGTTTGATATTCCATTATCAGTCTTCACTGCATCATGGCCTCAGGGCTGATTTATTTTCAGTTTGTGGGCTCCAGCATCTGCTCCCTTATGTTTGACCAAGTACTGATCATACTATCCTCCTTGAGTCTATTTTATCATGTTCATTGCTCCTCTATTTTGGCATCTGTTTTCTTCTCCTCATAAAAGCATTATTTGAATTGTGATATTGTGCATATTTGCTTGATCTCTATCATCCCTTCAAAGGATTTGAATATTTCTGAACTTCTTAATTCCTTTATATTCCATATGCATGATGCACTGAATAATCAAGATGACTTCTACCACTTAATAGTTCTGTAGGAGTACCTGCACCAGAAGGGTAGAGGTGTAGTAGTGGTAATGTCACTGGATTAATAATCCAGAATCCTAGATTAATGTTCTAGGAACATGGGCTTGAGTCAGTGGAAATTCAAATTTGAATTTGATTAAAAAGAAAACTTGAATAAAGAGCTGGCCTAATGGTGACTACTGTCAATTGTCATAAAAGGCCTACTGATCTAATGTCTTTTAGGGAAGGAAGTCTACTATTCTTGCCTGGTCTGACATATGTGTCATTCAAGACCTATAGCAATGTGGTTGACTTAGGGTTAGACTTAGAATCCAATTCGGGTTGGATATTCAATGCTGGCTCAGCCAGCTATGACCACATCCTGTGAATGAATTAAAAAAAACGAGAGAAGAAAAGGGCATCAGACTGTAGGAACACCTATACCTAGAAGTTTCCCTCCAGGCAACAAACCACCCAGACTTGGAAATATATCACCAGTGCTTCTCTGTTGCTAGATCAAAATCCTGTAACTCCTTTCCTATCAGTTCTGTAAGTGTACCTACACTAGATGAACTGCTGTGGTCTAAGAAAATGACTCACCACTTTTTCAATGCAACTTCCAAAAGATCAATCCCACAGAAGAATTTTTTTTTAAAAATGCTTCATTGTAAAGAATACAATTTTTTGCATGGCAAGTTCATCATCTAAACATTACTTGTCTACTTACCTTTTCTTTTACTCACTGCTTTCAACTTTGGTGGTGTCTAGTTCTGTAAGCCTTCATACTTCACCTCAGTTTCTTTTTTAAAATAAAACTCTTATAAAACATCTGAATACTTGCTTGATCTGAATAAATAAATGAAGATAAAAGAAAAGAATTTGCTTACTTTGTTATTTCTACCAGTTAATTAAACATTGAGATACAAATATCGCCTCCTATTTCACTTCCATCTGAGGACGCATAAAGTATATCACAATCAAATCATCGTTGCATGTGTTAAAATCCATAATGCAAATATACTTTTTCAAATTATTTTCCCTCTGATTGCAAATACCCAATTATGATTAACATATTTACAGATTGTAGCACTGAAAGTAGGCAAGAGGCTGCAGATAATCATGGAATTAAATTTGTTTAAGAAATCATGCTTTTTCTTCTGTTAACTTGTCTTGAATTTTCTTTTCAGCTACTTACCCCTTTGGTGTGTCTCCCTTTGATTTATCTCCAACATTTCAGTCTTCAGTTTGCTTAATACTCTTCATTCTATGTACCTGTGTACACTGTTCAGTAACTAATTAGGTTCTGCAACATTATTCTTGGACTCCTCACTCTGGAACAGCCATTTAATTGCACAGCAGTGAAGTGGACAAAGTGTAGCTGTAATACTGGCATTGGCCAGGTGATAGTCTAAGGAACAGAAACACAGGTGGATTGAGAGCACTGGGCAGAATGGAAGCCAGAAGTAAATGAAATAATTATCATTCCAGTTAACCAAGGCTTTAAGGTTATACAACCAAGGCTTTAGGATTATATAGTATTATTTGGATAACTCTGTTCATGTACAGCTCTGCAAGAAAAGTACCATTTTATCTATGCCTTACATTGCATTCTGCTATTAGTTCTAACAAACATGCTATCTCTCATTGTCAATAGACTTCTGTACTCTACATTTCATCTGAGGATGTTTATTTCAAAACTCTAACTGTGGCAGAACAAAGTACGCCCTACCATAAAATAGTAGCCTGTATTAACCTTGTTCTTGTGAACTTTGAATATATGTTTAAAGTGCTATTTTTTCAGCCTTTGTTACTAATTAACTACTATTTACATATCCTTCTTCTCCACCACCAAACATGGAATATTAGCTCTTCCTTTCATGTAACATCTACCAACATAGGTTAAACAGAGACCTTTGTAGCTCTCAAGTTTACCTCCCAACAGATCAGGATCTGTCTGTCAAAAATTCTGTGCATCATTGTTACTGTTTAGCAGCAATTTTTCATGACCCTCACTGATGTCTTGCTTGACAAATGCTATGTAATGTCCCAATGGAATGCTGAGACAACGGTCATTTGACAATGCTCCCTGTTATTGAATCCCTCCATTTAAATTTCCTTTCTGCCACAGAACTGACACAGTAATTATCAAAATCAAATGGTATCTTACATGTCTGTGACAAAAGTAAACTTCTTCTCCTTCTTTGTCAAATCTTTCTCCACTTACTTACAGCTTTTGATATGATTGATCACACTATCTTCCTCCAATGCCTCTGCACTGTTGTCCAGCTGGGTGGACTCCTCTTATGTGGTTCCATTGTTACCTATGTAATTATAGTCCGAGCATCACTTGTACTGGCTACTCATGCTATTCCTGTACTACTAACACTATCCCCATGGAGCTATTCTTGGCTGTTTCCTATTTCTCATCTACATGTTGCTGTTTTGTTACATTATCTGAAAACACTGCCTTGGTTTCACATTACTTCAAGTCCCTGCTCCAAACTCTGTTCTAGTTACCAAATATATCTCTCTCGCTAACAATGATCTTATCAAAGTTATCTGTTCGCAGCCTTAATTTCACATTTGACCCAGAGATAAACTTTTGATCTGATTTTTGTGCCATTACTAAGATCACCTATATCCACCTCCATAACATACGTGCTGTCTCAATTCATCTGGTGCTAAACCCATCATTCATGTCATAGATTCCCCCGGACTAACTATTCCACCGCACTCCTGTTTGGTCTCACGCATTCTACACTTCAGAAATTTGAGGTTATTCAAAACTGTTCTGCCTGTGTCTGAATTTCATCTCTTGTCTGTTCAGTCATTCCAGTGCTCACAGACTTAGCTCCCAAACAAACTGCATGTTCATTTTAAAATTCTTAACATTGATTTCAAATCCTTCCATGGCCTCCTTCCTCCATAGCTTTTGTAATCTCCAGTCCAGCCCCTAAAATATTTATGTTCCTCTAATTCTGGTTGCTTGAACTTCCTGAATTTTATTTGCTTCACTGTTGGTGACTGTGGCTTCAGTTACTTAAGGCAGTAAATTCTGGAGTATCCTCCCTATACTTGTTTGGCTGTCCTTATCTCGTTTTTCTTAAGATGCTGCTTGAAACTTAACTCTTTGATCAAGCTGTTGGTTGTTGACTCAATAATTATTGTGGCTAGTGTCATGTTGAGTTTTATAATGCCTCTGTGAAATGCCTTGGGATGTTTTATTAAGTTAAAGGCACTATAAAAAGTTGTTAGTATAATAAAACAATCCATTCCTGGTATAAATAAAAAAAAGTTAATTTCAGCAGGGGAAATAATCAAACTGCCTGTTCTGCTCCATTGAAATGTACCAATTGACATTAATAGTATGATCACTGATATTAGCAAAAAAAAGTTTGTCTTTTTAGATTTATTTTTATGTCTCTCACTTAAAGCATACTGTAAAATTGAATCATTATTGTAATAAAATTCTGAAAATAACTCATCAATATAATTTACTTTGTAAATGCAGTGGATATATGGCACTGGCAGTTAGATGCTCAAGCTCATAATTTATACCATGTATGATATGTTATTTACCTTAATCATTTGATTAGAATAAACGTGTTAAAATAACTTTTGGTTTTAACTGTAAAAACAAAGAGCAGTTTGGAATAATGATGTACAACAAAAATCGGCTTATTAAATCCTATGAGAAGGTTGGATGCCAGACAAAGGTAAGGATTTGGTATTCATATGGTTTGGTATTAAAATTAATTAAATAGTTTTAGCAGGTAAGAAACATATGTTTAATTTTTAACTAGTTTTCTCTCTATTTGTTCATGTTGGGCTGGGGTACTTTTCAATGGATGCAGTTAATGTTCAGTAACTAGCCATTATGATGTATGAGGCTACACATTTAATGTCGGCAGACAGTTCAACATTTGGGACCTCATCTTGTTCTTGACCAACACTACGCTCTACATTTGGCTTCTCTTCTTTCTATACCTGAAGCTGTAAGATCAATTATTGCATCGTACCTGTTGCAGAGTTGAAGACAGCTAATGCAATCGAAGAAGCAAACTTGCAACCTTGCGGTTAGTGTAGATTAATATTCTTCAAATATCAATCCTGATCATGTCCCTACACCTAGTAGACCACCTGCACACCTTCATAACCCTTACAGTAAAGAACTGTGGTTTTAAAGTTGACCTAAAGCTATCGATAAAATCTAATCAAACTGTTCAGAAATGTCAGTGCACACTTCTGAAGCAGTTGGGACTTGAACCTGGCCCTCCTGGCTCAGAGACAGTACCACCACCACAAGTGCCCAATAAACCATCATTCCCTGACTGGGAATCAAATCTGGGCAGCAGTGAAAGCGATGAATCCTAACTATATACACATGCCAACAGAAACAATGGGCAGAATCTCATGGAAGTCTGTTTGTTTTGAGTTTTGGCAAAATTTGTGGCAGATTTGGATGAGATGTTTTGGGAAAGGCTATCCCAACATCAGGAGCACCTTGCTTCAGCTTTAATACTTTTGACAAGCAGCGTAGCAAGATTCTCATTAGGCAGCCATAATTTGCCAATTAAGGGGAATGCTTGTCAAATGCCTTGTTAATGGTTCAACTCCTCTCACAAATGTACAGCTTCCTATCTTACCAAAAGCACAAATAAGCTAGACATTAAGAAAATTTGACATATAAACTAGAGCAGTTACCCGTGACTCAGCTCATATAGACAGGTTGGCTGGGGACCTGGGGAGGCACAATGCCTGTGTGGTTTATGGGAAGAGCTGTCGAGAAGGGAATTTGGATGTTTGGGTACTCAGCAAGAAGTACAACTTCCAGCTGAAAGCCGCTGGCCACTGAAGACTCAATGTCACCTCCCATTGTGAAATCACAAATGCGCAATGGAATAGAAAATAGTAGTGACCATACTCAGAGTAGGTAGGGTAAATGTCTCAACCTGTGAGGAGGGGGAAAAAGGACCCATTGATATAAGGATGTTGAAAAGAAAACAATATTATACATAGAGCCATGCACGGTACAAGACACAGACCAATGGGGTTCCTAATCACAGGCCACAGTGATGCATCTGTCCCATGTTTGCTGTGTATCTCCCTGCCCCAGACATCACTGACCGAACTCATTCATACCAACACTTCGTGTGCCAGAGGGCTGTGGTATATTATTCTCAGCCAGCTGCAGAGCTGTCACAGTGAGGTGTTCACCAGATTGTGTTCCCACACTTCTAAGCTTGATGCTTCCATCGATGCAGGTGGCAGCCTTGCCAATGCTTCCTCTGAGGCCTCCGTATTCTCATCCTCAGAGCCTGAGGAGTTGGGTTCTGGGAGAATGTCTTTTACATGACATAAGTGGTGGAGATTCTGGCTGTACCTGTAACACAAAAGTGACAGAAGCCATCACAAGACATTAGAATTGGTGTGCAGTCAATGAGGCTGACATTATGGTTACTGTGAGTTGTAGTGGAATGAAGAGTGGTATTTACTTGGATGTTTCGGCATCCTCACAGGAGCAGTCCCAGTTTTCTTGTGTGAGACCAGGGATTCCCTTCTTGGGAAGGGTGAGGAGTCTAATGTTGGGTGCTCCTCCGCCCATAGCAAACTCTGTTTGACCTGTTATGGGTGCTTTCTCTCCTAATGAAAGAATGAGAAGAATCGAGTAAGATGGAAGTAGGTAAAACCATAAGAAATAGGAACAGGAATAGGCTGTTCAGCCTCTTGAGCCTGCTGCGCCAGTCAGTATAATCGTGGCTTATCCACCTTTTTCCCCATAACCCATGATTCCCGTACTGATCAAGACACAAAGATTTCTGAAGAAGGGTCTAGGCCTGAAACGTCAGCCTTCCTGCTCCTCTGATGCTGCTTGGCCTGCTGTGTTCATCCAGCTCTACACCTTGTTATCTAAGACACAATGTATCTCAGCTTTACATATGTACAAGGACTCTGCCCGCACAGCTTTCTGTGAAAAGGAGTTCCAAAGACTCTGAGAAAATTCCTTCTTATATCAGTCTTAAATTGGCACCCCTTTATTTCTGAGTCTGTGCCTTCTGACCCTTTCATGAGAATCCTATCTGTTTCATAAGATCACCTCTCATTCTTCTAAATTCCAATGACCGCAGTCACAATCTGTTCAGCCTTTGCACCTGCTCCCTCCAAACCAGTGAACCAATCCCAGTGAACCTTCTCTGAACATTCTCCAATGAATCAATATATTTCCTTAAATAAGGGGAGCAACACTGCACACAATACTCCAGATGCGGTCTCACCAACACCTTGTATGGTAGCAGTGAGACTTCCCTACTCTTTACTCAACCCCTTCAAATAATGGCCAACATTCCATTAGCCTTACCTGCTGCACCTGTATGCTAGCTTTTTGTGTTTCATGCACGTGTACCCTCAAGTCCCTATGTAGTGCAGTTTGTTGCAACTTTTCTCCATTTAAAGAATACTCTGTTCTTTTGTTCCTCCTTCCAAAATGGACATTTTCTCACATTATAGTTGTTAGCCCTGGTGCAGTTGGAAGAAGGGTGAAGAGGTGGCCCTAAACAAATGACTAGGATGCACCAAGGGCTTTATGGGTTATTGGTCTGGGAGGATGGGGGCAGTGAGAGGGGCTGAGGGAAGTTGTTGCTAGCAATAATGAGTGTGGCCGAGCATAAGCCTTGGTGTGGGCTAAGTGCAATAGCAGCAATAGCAATTGCGAGATGGCAAAGAGAAGCTTGTGGTACTTTCTCTGTACTGCTAGCCATTGTTCTGCACAGACCTGGTGGCATCCTCACTGGGTGGCAACTTCAGACTGAGCTGCAGGGTCTGGTGTCAGGGCCTCCTCTGTGATTCCTCCAGGAAGAGGATTCCTTTCGTTTGCACCACCCGCTCCAACGGAGCCTCCGGATCCCTGTTGGAGAATCATGGTGCTATCTTCCACTTCCCCAACATCTGGAAACATCCTTGACCAAGCAGGGCAGCTTCAGAATGCCAGTCCTTGTCCATGTCCACGGTTGCCTTTTAAATAAGGCTCAGATGCAAGGGATGCTGGTCTTTTAATGAATATCCACTGAGTGGCGAGTTCCTAGAATGCTGCATGGTAAGCTTGGGCTGGAATCGGACTGAGAGATGATGTGGGACAAGATAGGTAGATCACAAAGGGCTTTTGAGAAGAAATTGTGAGAAATCTGCTAGGCCTTGTCATAGAAATCACTCCAAAAATATTAAGTCATACTTAGCCAAAAAAAAATAAAATTTGGCTCAAAATAGTTAATGAGGATGAAATGAACAAAGCATGTATAACTTCATTAATAGTAACTCAGAATTATAAGTTTTTCAAGTATCATGTTCTGCAGAACAGTAGACTAGTCCTCATAATTTACTTATTAATTAACATATTTTTGGAGTTTACAATTCACCTGAAAAACAACCGCATAGAGCAATGAAGCAATTATTTTGTTTGCATTTTTTTTTTCTCCAGTCAACCAGCAGAGGATGTGGAGTTGGTGTAATTGGAATTATTGAGTGCAATTTTCTCAAGCCAGCACATAATAAACAAGATTTTGAGTACACTAAAGAATACAGGTAAGAATGGACAAACACTAAAAATGGCAATATTTAAAATTTAAAAGTAAGTAGAAAGACAAAGTCAGTACAGACAGGACATAAACACGATCTGGTAGTCAAAGCTTGCCTGAGGCATAGGTTTCAACTTGAAACTTTTATGTAACTTGAAAATCTAAAGCCAAAATAGAAAACATGATAAATACACTACAAAGGTATCAATGTCTGAAAAGAAGGGCTCGATATTGAATTGATCTTTCATTTCAGTTGGAATTAAAAACTGGAATTGACCAGCCTTTTTAATGAACTGAATAAAATCATGCGTGGGTTATGCTGATTCTTGTCAGATATTGGGAATTAGCTGATTTAATGGTTTGAAAATATTGCTGTTGCAAAACAGGAATGAAGTAATTCAATGGATAATAAGTATGCAAAGATCAACTCAAGTATTGTTGGGCTATTAAAAGAACAAACTGTGAAAATGACTAAATCAGTGAAAATGGTTGGCTTTAACCATATAGGTATATAAAATAAAACACTGGTATTTGATGCGAAAAATTGTGTTAGCAAGTTTGCATTGAGTTTAAATAGAACATGGTAGAAATGGAAGCGATGAGCTACAGGGAGTACAATATCAAATTGTGTGGATGACAAAATCTGGCAATGCAGTAAATAAGACAATAGTAGCAGACTTTGGGGTTGGAAGCTTCCTAGAGTTACACAGGTCCTGAAAGTTGCAACAATCTGATACAGCCTGTACTGGAATTCAGTGTGCTAGAATTCCCTCTGGAGGCTGGGAAGAGAAGTCAGGTATGTTTTTAGATCTTGAACTTGTTGTCTCTGATTTTCTTGGGTGGCTAGTTAATGGCTAATTAATTAACTACCTAAACTGTAGTACTGAAATGTGCAAGGCCACAGACCAGGCGCTGGAACAAGGGATGATAATGGGCGGATACTTCATCTTTGGGCTGGCACAAACATCATGGGCTGATTGGCCTTTTTCTCTGCTGCAATTTTTCTTTGGTTTTGTGTCCAAAGGACAGGTTTGCTGTCCAATTATGAATAGCTGTCAAAGTTGTCATGTCAATTAGAGAGCTTCCACCTTGATAAGTGTAGCAGACTGTAATTTAAGATCAGTAAGACAGGGCCACTTCAACATAGGTGTGTTTTGTTCAGTTTTCTAATGAAAAAATAACTTTAGCAGCTGGGATATTACTGTGAAGTGGGAGGAGCCTTTCTAATAGATAGCTTGTGGCTGTGTTGCATTGATCTTTAAGCTGACTTGAGCACTGCCCAAATCCCCCTTGGCAGTTGCTGGGCGTTCCTCCAAGCATTTAAACGAGCCACCACAGTGAGCCGGAACCTGCGTGAAGTCATTTGAAAATTAGAACCACGGTGGCGCAGTGGTTAACACTGCTGCCTCACAGCGCCAGGGACCCAGATTTGAATTCAGCCTTGAGTGACTGTCTGTGTGGAGTTTGCACATTCTCCCCGTGTCTGCGTGTGTTTCCTCCGGGTGCTCTGGTTTCCTCCCACAGTCCAAAGATGTGCAAGTTAAGGGGATTGACTATGCTAAATTGCCCATATTGTTCAGGATGTGTACGTTAGGTGTGTTAGCCATGGGAAGTGTGGGATTACAGGGAAAGGGTATGGTGATTGGTCTGGGTGGGATGCTCATTGAAGGGTCGATGTGGACTTGTTGGGCTGAATGGCCTGTTTCTACACTAGGGATTGTAGGATTCTAATTGAACTCAATTAGATTTATATTGAGCCTGATTGGGTAGCCGCCAGATGTGTGCTGTCACTTCGATCGTGTTCTGTAAAACAGCACGGAGGTGGAATGGAAACAGAGAAGTGTCACAAGGGCCAGTTGCGTTATTGCACTAGGGGCTATAAATACAGCCCAGTAAAGGTCTTAAGACCATAGCAAATAGGAACAGGAGTAGGCTGATTGGCCTCTCAAGCATGCTCCGCCATTCAATAGGATCATTCTGGTCTGACATTTCTCATATCTACCTTGTTGTGTTTTCCCATAACTCTTGATTCCCTGTCTGATCAAGAACTTATCTATTTCCGCTTTAATTATACAGAAGCCTCAACTCTCTGTGAGAAAGTGTTCCAAAAACTCTCATCCCTCTTAGAGAAGAAATTCCTCCCTATTTCAGTCTTAAACTGGCATGCCTTTATTCTGAGACTGTACCCTCTGGTCCTAGATTCTTCCATGAGGAGAAATATCTTGTCAGCATTTACCTTGTCAAGCCACTTAAGAATCTTGTATGTTTCAATGAGATCGCCCCTCATTCTTCCAAACACCAGTGAGTGGAGTCCCAACTGGTTTAACCTTTGCTTATAGGACAGTCCCTCCATTAACAGGGTTCATCCTCGTGAACCTCCTCTGAACTGCCTCCAATGAATTAATATATTTTCCTACATAAAGGGACCAAATTGCTTACAGTACTCCAGATGTTGACTCACCAGCTCCTTGTACAGTTGCAGTGAGACTTCCCTACTCTTATACTCCCAAACCCTTGAAATAAGGATCAACCAGGTAAATGTCTGCTTGGTAGCTGAGCTATTGACACCATACCATCCACATCAGAAGTCCATATATTTCCAACTGCACTATCTCTGCTTTAGTTTATTTTCTACCTAAACTCTCTTACTTGATTATTCCCATGCTTTCCTGACCAGCATCCCATATTCTATCCTTCATAAACTTGAGCACTTTGTCTCTCAAGCATTCTTCCTGGTTTAACTAGAGTAGTCTCCTGCAGTTGATAAAAATACAGTTTGTTGCATTTTTGCAGCTAGCTGCACATTACATTGATACAACAGACATTGTTACAGAGACTCTGTGGAGGACCTAATGTTGGGTCACATTCTGACCACAAGACATGAGTAAAAGTAGGTCATACAGCCATTGAGTCTGCTGTGCCATTTAATGAGATCATAACTAATCTGATAATCCTCATCTTCACTTCCCTGCCTTTTCCCCATAACCCTTGATTCCATTCCTGATTAAAAATCTCTCCATCTCGGCCTTGAATATACTTAATGACCCAACCTCAACAGCCTTCTGTGATAAAGGATTTTATGAATCACTACTATATGAGAGAAGAAATTTTTTATCATCTCTGTCTTCTTTACACAGAGAGCGATGGGTGCATGGAATGCACTGCCAGCAGTGATAGTAGATTCAGATACGTAAGGGACATTTAAGCAACTCTTGGATAGGCACAAGGATGAGAGTAAAATGAAGGGTATGCAGGTTAGTTTGATCTTAGAGTAGGATAATAGGTCGGCACAACATCGTGGGCTGAAGGGCCTGTACTGTGCCATACTGTTCTATGTCCATTTCCATTAGCCCTACCTTGATTACCTGCTCTATCTGTGCACTAGTTTTCTGTGTTTCATGCACAAGTATTCCAAAGTCCCTTTGTGTAACAGCTTTTTGCAGTTTTTCTCCACTTAATAATATTCTGTTCTTTTGTCTTCCCTTCCAAAATGAACAACTTCACATTTCCCCATATTATGCTTCATTTGCCAGCTTTTTTCCCAATTAGTTAACCTCTCAATATCTCTCTGTAAACTGTTTGTAACTCTCTCACAACCTGTCTTTTGACCTATTTTTCTGTTGTTTGCAAATTTGGCTACAATATGTTCGCTTCCTTCTTCCAAGTCATTAATATGTATTGTAAACAGTTGCTGTCCCAACACTGATCCCTGTGATCCATTGATCACAGGCACCAACCTGAAAAAGAACCCCTTATCCCTACTTGCTATGTCCTGCCTATTAGCCAATTCTATATTGATACAAATATACTATCTCTAACACAGTGGGCTCTTATGACTTAACTATTGTGAGGTACTTCGTCAACACCTTCTGGAAGTCCAAATATAATACATCTACTGGTTCCTGTCTATCCTCTCTAGTTGAGACTTCCTCAAGAAACTCTCATAAATTTGTCAGACACAGTTTTCCTTTCATGAGGCCATGTTGACTCTGATTAGATTATAATTTTCTGAATGTTCTACTATTGCTTCATTCATAATTGATTCCAACACTTTTTCCAACAATAGATGTTAGGCTAATCAGTCTATAGTTACCCACTTTTTGCCTCTCTCCCATTTTGAATAGGAGTGTCAAATTGGCAGTTTTCCAATCTTCTGGTACTTCTCCAGAATCCAAGGATTTTTCGGCAAATTAAAGCCAATGCATCTACTACCTCTATAACTACCTCTTTTGGGATTCTAGGATGCAAGTCATCTGAACCAGGGAACTTATCTGCCTTTAGTCCCATTAGTTTGTATGATACTACTTCTCTAGCGATGTGATGTTAGTTAATTCTTTTCCCATATTCTTCAGTATTAATAGGATGTTCGAAGTATCTTCCATGATAAAGACTGATGCAAAATACGTGTTTAAATTTACTGCTGCTTCCTTGTTGCCCATAACCATCTTCCTCATCTCCTTCATTTTCTAAGTGGTCAATTTCACATTACTTCTCTTTTCCATTTTATATGTTTAAAGAAGCTCTTATTGTTAGTTTTATACCCTTTGTAGTTTATTTCTCTGTTTTTATTATCTTTTTAGTCCTCCCTTGCTGGATACTAAATTCATCCCAGTCTTCTTCACTGGTTTTGGCCTCCTTATATGCTTCTTTTTTCAACCTAGTATTCTTCTTAAGTTCTATGGTTAGCCATAATTGGTTTTTCCCTCTCTTAGAATCTTTCCTCCTTACTGAGATATATTTTGCTGACAGTAGTGGATTGCCTCCCAAAATGTCTGCCACTGCTTACTTTCTGTCATTTCTGCTAATCTATCTACTCAGTTTACTTTAGTTAATTCCATCCTCTGAGAAAGGTTTGGCATCACTGGCAAAGTCAGGACTCGTGGCAACTGAAGTTATCCAAAAACGTGTGTTACAGAAGCAGCATCACAACATAGACATTGAAGGCATGAACTGAGTTATTAGAAAGACCAAATGGGCACCATCACCATCATGTGTGTGGAAGCTGATTCATGTCTGCAAATTATGTATGAGAAGTATACTTCTTTAAAAATAGATCACCACCAAATCACTCATGTTTCCAATCAATCAGTTAATATTTAACAAGCATGCGCAGTGCAATATTGATAAAAATAGGGGAAGGTAGGAAGAGATAGAGGAGATATGACATACTATGCTTACTACTAATGATTAATAGGAATCGGGTGAGGGCAGAAAGACTGAACTGGACTGTGGAAAAGAAACTTTGAGGATAATGGTATATTTAACCATTAATTAAGAGGGCTAATGCACCATGCTCAAGTCACACAGAGAATGTCATTTTTTTATGGGCTAATTTTCATCTATGTGCTGTCCTGATTTACAGAACGAAAGTAATGGAAGAGGTTGTCACCTTCAATGGAATTGATTTCTGTTGGATTCTTACAAATTTAGAATTCTCTTTTTTATTTTCTGGTTGAACTTGTGACTGATGTTTCAAGCCCTTCTCTGGAGAGGTTGAAATCATTAAAAGTGATGAAGTTGTGAATGATGTAAATGTCTGTTTTTCTCATTTAATCGCAGTCACACTTCTGGCTTGAAGATTTGAAGTCTATTGTTGACTGTAAGTTAGCTGAAATATGCCCCACATAACTGGAATCCCATCAGTGCATTTTAATCATGGAAGCTTACTGCATGGGAGAAGATAATTCAGTTCTTTATCTTTGAAAGAGCTGTCTAATTGGTCTCATTTCTCCTTCAACCCATACATCTGTAGATTTTTCCATTTCGGGTGTATAGTTCACTTTTCAAAGTTGACATTGAATTTACTTCCATTACTGTATCAATCAGTGCAGTCCAAAGCATACCATATAGTCATATGCTTCCAGTTTACATGCAGGCTAACTTGAATTCTCCAATGGACCAGTCACTTCAGGAAATTTTTAATCTGCTGTGAATATATTTAGTTTTGGTTGACAAGTATGTCTGTGATTACTGGTATTAATGCCAAAGTAGACTTCTTCCAGTGGCAACGAATAGCTGAGCCATATTAGCCGGAGAGTTGTCGGATTCAGTTCCTGGTCCAGAGAATTAGATGTTTTTATTTTGTAATAGAAATGAATGTCAGAATGTAATCAATCAGCTTTCTCATTTAAGATTTCCAAGCTGTGATGCCTGTTTGAATCTGAATATTACTTAAGGCTACTTTAACCTATCCCTTGTGTTAAAATAACCTAATGACATTCACTATTTAGATGCAAACATGATAAGACACTGGGGCACTGACACCATGGAAGCATAGTTTAGTCAGTTTCATCTGAAGATTAACGGAACAAACTGCAGGAATTTGCAAAAGTATATTTGCAAGATGAGACTGGTACATGTGATGAAAGCAACTCTGTTTCTCTGTTGAAGTTTTTGCATTTAAGTGGATTGACTGTATGAAGTGTAACTTCCTCATTGCAATCAAGTTGAGCAGCCTCTTAGCAAAAGAGGATGTGTTAACATCATGCAGCACATCTAGCCCAGCTATGTATGGGCATGATGGGGGGGATGGGGGGGAGGTGTTGGAATCATTGTGGTGAAGCTTACAATTTGCTTTTCTGAACTGACTAAGGAAAGATGGCATTGTTCCTGTACTATCTGTGAAGCTATCAGGGACCAGGTAACAAAAGAGCATCTAGCAAAAGACTGGTTTCTAATCGCCAAAGAAATTTATCAAAATGTCCTTTAAGCTGATGAACATGATCCACAAGTTATTTTACTTATAGGGATTTCTCTTAAATTTGTAATGAGTAATTTCCTATTTTACTGGTGGAGCTCTTTAAGGAAGCATTTACTTCCTGTTATATGTCACTTAAATTTAAATTGAGAAATACGTAACATATCACAAGTGATTCTGAAAATAACATTCATTCCTATTAATGGTGTCTTGACTCAGTAATGGCTCAGTATTCTTTTTGATTGCATTAATCTTTTAAAATGGCCGTTTTTAGACGCAAAGTGGAATTTTCATTCACTGGTATTTAAAGTACAAAGAGGCATGTTTAGCCTTGTGCTCACATTCACTTAAGAAAAGGAAAATAATTATTATCTGTTGAGATTCAACACTCTGGAATGCCTTCTCTAAATCTCTGCACCTCTCTATTCATATTTACCAAACTATTGGTAAAGCTCTAATATCTACTTATACTGCTAATATGAGGAGCAAATTGAAGCAGAAGATCAGCTATGATCATATTGAATGGTAAAGCAGTTTACGGGCACAGTGGTCTACTCTTGTTTCTATTTCTTACGTTTATGTCAAATATTGTTTGATACCATTTCTATTAGGTGACTTTTTGACATCCTACTATGTTGAAGGCACTATTATTAATGTAATTTGTTGTTTGAAGGTATTGCAATTTTATATTAAAGTAAAAATCCCCATGTTTTGTTTAATTTTCTTCTTGAAATGTGGGTAACATCAAGACAATTGACAAGTGAGAGACCCAGGTTACATAGTATAGGTTGGGATTGCATGAATGTCAGACCAGCCAAGGGTAAAATTGGTATTTTTATGATGGTTTGATACCTTTCACTGTTATCTTACCTCCTCCTCCTCTAACCAAAAACGACTGTGTGGAGGTTTGGTAAGGTAAGGCTTTGTTTTATTCTTCTTCTGGAAATCTCGAGTAGAGGGAATGGAAGCTAGGGCAGTTGCATGCTCCTCTTGCAGGATGTGGGAGGTAAGGGTTACTGCGGGTGTCCCCTCTGACTTCACCTGCGAGAAGTGCACCCAACTCCAGCTCCTCAAAAACCGTGTTAGAGAACTGAAGCTGGAGCTGGATGAACTCCGGATCATTCGGGAGGCTGAGGGGGTGATAGAGAGGAGTTACAGGGAGGTGGTCACACCCAAGGTACAGGAAAAAGGTAGCTGGGTGACTGTCAGGAAGGGGAAAGGGAATAGGCAGACAGTGCAGGGATCCCCTGTGGCCGTTCCCCTCAATAATAAGTATACCGTTTTGGATACTGTTGTGGGTGATGACCTACCAGGGGAAGGCCATAGTGTGCAGTTCTCTGGTACTGAGCCTGACATGGGGCAAAGAAGGGAAGGAAGGAGAATAGGAGAGCAATTGTAGTGGGGGATTCAATAGTAAGAGGCACAGACAGGCAGTTCTGTGGACATGAACGAGATGAAAGGATGGTATGTTGCCTCCCGGGTGCCAGGGTCCGTGATGTCTCGGATCGTGTCTTCAAGATCCTTAAGGGGGAGGGTGAGCAACCAGCAGTCATGGTACACATCGGTACCAATGACATAGGTAGAAAAAGGACTAAGAATGTGAAAAACGAATACAGGGAGTTAGGTTGGAAGCTGAAGTCCAGGACAAACAGGGTAGTTATCTCTGGATTACGACCAGTGCCACGTGATAACGAAGTAAGAAATAGGGAGAGAGTGCAGCTAAACTCATGGCTACAGGGCTGGTGTAGGAGGGAGGGCTTCCATTATGTGGATAATTGGAGTACATTCTGGGGAAGGTGGGACCTGTACAGTAAGGACGGGTTGCACCTGAACCGGAAGGGCACAAATATCCTGGGAGGGAGGTTTGCTAGAGCTGTAAGGGATGGTTTAAACTAGTTTGGCAGGGGGTGGGGAACTGGGTTTATAATTCAGAGGATGAGGTATTCGGCCTTCCAACAGACACAACAGGGAGTGAGGTGGTTTATAAACAAATGTGGTCGATGGAGCATAATTGCGGACACCGAGATGGTTTGAGGTGTGTATACTTCAATGCAAGAAGTATTAGAAATAAAGCGGATGAACTTAAGAGCATGGGTCGGTACTTGGAGCTACGATGTTGTGGCCATTACAGAAACTTGGGTAATTCAGGGAGAGAAATGGATGTTGGAAGTTCCGGGATTTAGATGCTTTAAAAGAAATAGGGAGGGTGGAAAAAGGCTGGGGGAGTGGCATTGCTAGTCAGGGCGAGTATAGCAGCTACTGAAAGGCAGTTCGAGAATGATATGTCTACAGAATCAGTTTGGGTTGAGGTCAGGAGTAAGAAAGGAGCAGTCATTTTGTTGGGGGGGGAAATTGAATCAGAGATAGTAGGAACTGCAGATGCTGGAGAATCCGAGACAACAAGGTGCAGGGCTGGATGAACACAGCAGGCCAAGCAGCATCATAGGAGCAGAAAGGCTGACGTTTCGGGCCTAGACCCTTCATCAGAAAAGGGGGAGGGCAAGGGGGTTCTGAAATAAATAGGGAGAGAGTGAGAGGCGGATAGAAGATGGATAGAGGAGAGGATAGGTGGAGAGGAAACAAATAGGTCGAAGAGGTGGGGATGGAGCCAGTAAAGGTGAGTGTAGGTGGGGAGGTAGGGAGGAGATAGGTCAGTCCAGGGAGGACGGACAGGTCAAGGGGGCGGGATGAGGTTAGTAGGTAGGAGATGGGGGTGCGTCATGAGGTGGGAGGAGGGGATAGGTGGGAGGAAGAACAGGTTAGGGAGGTGGGGACGAGCTGGACTGGTTTTGGGATGCGGTAGGGGGAGGGGAGATTTTGAAGCTTGTGAAATCCACATTGATACCATTGGGCTGCAGGGTTCCCAAGCGGAATATGAGTTGCTGTTCCTGCAACCTTCGGGTGGCATCGTTGTGGCACTGCAGGAGGCCCAGGATGGACATGTCGTCTGAGGAATGGGAGGGGGAGTTGAAATGGTTCGCGACTGGGAGGTGCAGCTGTTCATTGCGAACCGAACATAGGTGTTCTGTTGGGGTTTTTTTACAGACCCCCTAATAGTTGCAGAGAAGTAGAGGAGCGAATTGGGAGGTAGATACTGGACAGGTGCAGAAGTCACAGGGTTGTAGTCATGGGTGACTTCAACTTTCCAAATGTTGATTGGAAACATTTTAGTTGTAATAGTTTAGATGGAGCAGATTTTGTCCAGTGCGTTCAGGAAGGATTCCTGACACAGTATGTAGATAGACCAACATGAGGACAGGCCACTTTGGATTTGGTACTTGGCAACGAACCGGGCCAAGTGTTAGACCTGATGGTAGGAGAGCATTTTGGCGGTAGTGATCATAACTCTGTTTCTTTCACGATAGTCATGGATAAGGATGGGTACATAAAGCAGGGTAAAGTTTATAATTGGGGGAAGGGTAATTACAAATCAATTAGGCAAGAACTGGGTAACATAAATTGAGAACAGATGCTGTCAAGGAAGAGCACCACAGAAATGTGGAGATTGTTTAAGGAATGCATACTGCATGTGCTCGATATGTTTGTCCCTCGCAGGCAGAGAAGAGGCGGTCGAGTGAGGGAGCCATGGTTCTCGTCGAACGATTGGTTAAGAGGAAGAAGGAGGCTTATGTAAGGTTTAGGAAAAGAGGAACGGAAAAGGCTCTAGAGGGATACCAGTTAGCCAGGAAGGAGCTGAAGAAAGGGCTTAGGAGAGCTATAAGGGGGCATGAGAAAACCTTGGCAGGTAGGATCAAGGAAAACTCCAAGGCTTTTTACACGCATGTGCAGAACAAGAGAATGACCAGAGAAAGGGTAGGGCTGATCAAGGA